TCAGTCTTTCAAAGAAGTTTCAAGTACGTACTAGGACCCGTACGTGTCGTAGATGGCCGTGCGGTTGTGCATGCTTAGCATCGGAGGAGTGTCTTGAAGCCAGGAAACTGATCACGCCCTCCTTGGCATAGGTGGGTAGTCTTGGGGAGCTAATGGAGGGCTTTTTGGTATGTGCGCTAAGATGCTCTTGGAATATTCTTCTGAGCCCGCTCGGATTGCTCTTGAGTGGTCTTTCACGACCTTGGGCTACTTGGAGTGTGCTTGAAGTGTTCGGAGGGTGCTCTTACATGTACGTCCACATGTTCTTACACTGCCTGGGGTCTGCACTGATAGTCTCCTTCTGAGATGAGGGTCGACATCATAATCACTCACCTACGACTTCAGCTTCTTAGGCTTAGCGTAAGTAATGTAAAGCTAGATACCTTCTCCCCATCAAAGTCATTCCCAGGGTCTCGGCATCTCGGGGCGGACGTTTCGCAGCCTTTGACGACAGTGACTGAGGACATCCCCTCATGCAATGCCCCAGACCCCTACTATAGTTGATCCGGAAAGTAGGGGCCTCCCAACAACCCTAAACCCTAAACCGCCCCAACATAGCCCTTGGGTTGGAGGTCCTATGTTTCAGATCCCTTGATCTCTCTCTTTCTCTCTCTAGAGAGATCCCTTTCAAGGGGGTGGCCTTGAACCAATCTAGAAGGTCATATGGGGAATGTGGCGGGCCGGGCCTTACGGAGGTTGTACAGGAATTGCAGACAAGGATGTCATGGTTGAGGCTTAAGGCGCTGGGGGACAGACAAATTCTTACGGGAACCAGCTTGATAAGAGGGTTAGGATCAAGGTGTAGGGGGCAGGTTCAGGCTTAAGGTTAATCAATCGAGTAGGCTTCCTACGGGCATTCCTACGATTCCATAGAGTTTACCGTATTCGGCTATGGGGTTTGCAGATTTCATGGAGATTTTAGGAGAGCAAGGTTGCCCTACATGCATGCCTGATAGTTTCGCATTGCGCAGCCTGCTGAATCATTTTTGTGGCTGCCTTCTTCCCCGGAAGCTGCCCAACTTAAACAGCAATTTGGCTTGTGCTGGTGTTCGGCTTACTTGCATTAGATGATCACTGTAAGTAAAGCTTTCCTCGACCAGTGTTAGTAGATTCAGCACAATGTCAGTGTCACACATTTGGCCCAACAGGATGTAGAGAGTCCTTGCAACTTTACCTGGGAGTTATCGTGCGTGACAGGGCCCCGGTACCGCACTGGCGCTTCGGGTTCTCACAGCAAACATGTCCAAGCGCTGAACACAAAGCAGGAAGCAATAATCTGATCATACCTGTCCCCCCTGTACTTCCCATGGATGCTTGATTTGAGGGATATTGGGGGCAGGAACCATGTTGTGTACGGCATGCCCGTCCCAAAATGAGATATACCCCACTGGAGGAGGTATAAGCCTCCAGGACTGTAGAGCTAAAAGGTCTCGCAGTTTGTCGTACCTTGTGCTGGGCAGGCGAAATGCCGACAAGGGCGTTGCTGAGGCACTGCCGTACGTTGCTGCCATAGCTGGCCCCTCCGAAAATTAGCATCTCAGCACGAGGAGGAGAGAGGTGCTCATCATGTAGCACGCGGAGAGGGCAGAATCCCACAGCTCAGCTCACCAAAATTCAACAGCCAATTATGACCCCCCACCCCCCGGGGGGGCGCTTTTAATGACATGTGGTGTTTTTGCTTGCTTCGCTTGAGGAGACTTGCGGTAAGACCTAGCTGCTCACTAGATGCCAGGGCTGCGATCTGA